CACACACCACACACACACCACACACACCACACACCACACACACACACCACACACACACACTCACACACACACCACACACACACAAGCATGGTTATTTTTTTTGTGCCTGCATGAAAGGGAGGTTGAGGGAGGACCAAGCTAGAAACAGACTGTCAATTGTGAGGGGTTTTTGAATCACATGAGTTTTAATATAAAGAAAAAGTATGTGATGATGACATTTTATGGAAAATTCCAGATTAGCGTGAAGTGGTCAGCTGGTACAATGCCTTGATTTTCTCCCGTCTCTTGGGGGCTCTGGCTGGATATTCTGGTTGGAACTGTGACCAGACAGGGAGTGGAGTCAAATGTGAAGGACTCAGGCTTCGGGGTGCATGTCCCACTCACTGTCTGTGTGGCCTCTCTGGCCCTCACTGTCTTGATCTGTGCCATGGGGATAAGGGACCTACTTCACACGGTGGTTCTAGAGATGAGAGACAACAACAACACAAGGCCAGTTTTGAGTTTTAAAAGGTAATGTCCTCAATTCCATCTTCATATTTCATAGAAGCATTTATCCATTACCGTAGCCCAAGTTATAAGAGATGACAGCGTCATAGCTTCATCTCACATTTTTAAATGTTCAGATTTAACTAAGTTATAAAATTTTTTCTACTTATTCTGTTAGTGCTAATTCAATTTTATTTTCTTGAATATTCTATGATGGCATTAAAACGTACTCCTTTCTTACTGAAACTTTTTTTTAACCTCCAGTACAGCACAGGCAGTGAGTCAAGCTGACACCACCGGTTTTCTCGAAAGGGTGCTGGCCTTCTAGGAAATTCACACTGAGCCCCTTAACTTTGCGATCACCTCCAGGTCCTGTTTTGGTGCTCTTGTCCTGACGTGGGTCAGGTAGCCATGAGCCACGCAAAAGCAGCAGTTATTCATCTCAGAGGTCAATCTACTGAGAATAAAAGTCATAGCAACTGAGGCGGGGTTGGGGGCGGGCAGTGGTTAGGCTAGAACCTCTCTTCTGGAAAAACTGTTTTATATTCGAGCTCAGGGGACTTCTATTTCTCAACCATAAGCCAAGATAGGTCTTTGTTGCCCTATTGGAAAGTTTTCTTAGAAGAATTAATTAGATCTTCACCTAGTGTTAAAAATTGTGCCTCAGTTTTCGATACCAAGCATTGAAAGACAGCCCAGCAGGGGGAAGAAGACACCGCCAACTACACAGTATTTCATACAGAATTTAAAGATTCATTTACATACAACAGGATGGCTACTGAACTAAAACAGAAGTCAGCCACCAACCCGCCACCCCTCACATCACCCCTCCTTTTATTCCTGTGGCCCTTTCAGGATTGGCCCATTTGTACGTAGTCGTACGGAGTCGTGGTCTTCATGGAGATGGAGCTGTTTGACTTCACATTGTGCAGTTTTGTTTTCCCGCTGCTAAAAGTTTTCAGGTGAGCCTATCTATGTCTGTGGGCTCTCATGTCCAGATGCCATGTAATGATTTAATTTCCCCTCCTCCCACAATGGTTCACTCGATGCTTTTCCATTTTAAATCCTGACAAGTAATGACCACCTCTGGGACTGTAGCTTTCTGGCCCCCAGGCGGACCCTCAGGAAGACATCATGGGGTTAAGAGGCAGGGACATCTTTATGGCTTTCGAGCTGTACTGTCCACCTGTGGGAAGGATGCTTTTCTGAATCTGATGGACCACTTTGATTTGACGCTGTTTTCTCCTGCCAGCTTGCAATGATAAGGTAAGAGAATACTTTATACTTGATGGAGAGAGTCAGATTTGGGTCTGAAATGTGTTTTCTGCGTAACAACGAGATGGGACCCAGCGATGCAGCCTGGCGGTTGGGTACTCACCTTTCTTCAAAGATGCCATCTGCCTGGAATGAGAATGGGCCGTGACACGCAGGTGCCCCGAGGGACACGGCCGTGGTGGTGGCGGGTGTTAACGAGCAGGCATAAGGGACCGCTCCCTGTGAGCGCACTCTCTGAAGCCATTGCCACTGTCGGCGGCACAGGGAACAGAAGGGCCCTTTCTCTGGGCCTAGGCAGCCCAGGCCCCTTTGTGCTGCAGCTCAGGAGAGGCCCAGGGCTGCCTCGCCACTGCCCAACCATGCTCAGGACCCTCGGGCTGGCCCTGCTGGCTCTGCTCAGCACCGTGGGCCCGAGCCAGGCCAGCGGCTTCACAGGTGAGGGGTCTGGGCTCCGTGAGGGTGATGCTGGAGGAGCAGGGGGGTCGGGAGCCAGGCTCATGGGTGAGAACAGCAGCCTTGCAGACAGCCAGGCAGGCTTCTGCTTTGAGAGGCGACATCTGCTCCCTCTCACCAAACTTTCTCATAACCCCAAAACGGTGGGTGCATGTGTTTTCTAATCACCTGGGGGATCTGTTCAAAGACAGATTCTGAGTCAGCGGGTCTGGGTGGGGCCCAGAACTGCGCATTTCTGCGAGTGGTGCTGGTCTGAGGGCCACCCTGAGAGCAGACACAGCATCTGGGTCTCTGAACCGTGGTGTGTTGGGCTTTCCTCTCCTTCTCTTCTGTCAGGGACTTGCCCAAGGCCACACAGCTGGCTGAGGGCAGAGTTTCTATCAGAGTGACCCTGCTGGCAAGGCGGGAGTCATGAAGTGGGCTCTCCATCCGCTGCCCCTCACCGTGGGTTCTGCCAGTCCCGGTTTCCTCGGCGGTACATGAGGGTGGCAGTGGCCGGTGGGGAAGTGAGGGGCCGAGCACGGGCACCTGTCCAAAGCCTTTGGAGGCACATGGTCAGCTGCTAAAAACGCGGATTTCTGAAGCCCCAGGTTTCAGAGCTGAGGTGGTAAACCTTTGAAATCATTTTCCCCCTGAAGTCTGTTTTATCCCGTTGGAAATTCAAACAGGTCTATTCTGTTCCCACGGCCAACTTCAGTTTTGTTACCAATTCAAAGTTTGTTCACCCCTGAGCAGGATTTTGGTTTAATTGTGATTTTTTTCCCCTTGAGTTTTCCTTTGGAATGGGTAATGTGTAAAACACACAGCTCAGTCGCAAAATGAGTGGGACTATCTCAAAGCTAGAGAAGCCCTCAGGAGGCATTTCATGACCCCTCATTGTGCACGCGAGGACGCGGGGGACAGAAGCTGTGTTGCTCAGTGTCCCAGTCTATTTGCTCTTAAGTGCCAGGCACTCATTCAATCCTACAGCCCGAGGGCATGGCTACTATTTCACAAATGAGCAGACTGGGGCACCGAGAGGGCATGAAATGTGCTCAGAATCACTCGGCTGGTGTTGGTGAAGTTGGCGCAAACGCAGTTCCTCTGACCCCAGGGCCCAGACTCGTTCCACAGCGTGAAGATGCCCCACCTCTGGGGCTGGAACCTGGGCCCCCCAACTGCCATGCTGATGGCACTTGAAAGGATTTGCTGAATGGCAGGATCTGCTAAAAACTTTCTCTCCTGGGCTCTGCCAAGAAGCCAGGCTCAGAAGGGACGTGGTGGCCGCTGGGAGAATGTCAAAAACAAAACACAACAAGTTGATCCCAAGTGCAGTTTCAGAGGAGATGTGTGAGCGTGCGTGTGGTGGTGTGTGTGCTAATGATCCGCTGGGACCTTGTCACGCTCAGACGGAGCTCGGTGGCTCTCTAGAGACGGGGAAGAGGAACCTTCATTAGTGGTTGGCATCTCATGTTAGGCTAAGATGAAAAACAAAATCTAAAACCATCTCGTCACGTTCTCAAGGCAGGAAGTCCTTACGTGTTTTCTTGTTCAGCCGGTCACTTAATTAGTGACCAGTTCACAGTGGCCATTTTTTCTCCAGCCCCTCATCTAAGTCACCTCTAAGCTCTGGGCCAAGTTACGCTGGTCTCGGAGGCTGATTTCCCCGGCCCCCCACACATAATGGGAGGGCCCTGTCATTCCTTCCCAGAGCTTACTGTCACCCACCCCTTTGGTGGAGACAGGCAGCACGGCCCTTCAATCCCAGAGGCCCTGCCACCTGCAAGGGTGATGGAGAGGCAGCCACACGTGGCTGTGGGGTGGGCTCACTCAGGAGTGGGGCGCTTCAATGTTGTATTCAGCCCCCATCAGCCTGGGCTCCACGGCTGGCTCAGGCCATTTCTTTCTGGGGATCACTAGCCCCTGGGACACTTAGGGGCTGCTGTGCGGCCAAAGAAGGAGCTCTTCAGGGGTGCTGCCTAGTGCTGATGATTCAGGGGTGAAGGTAATTTTTGCTGCCATCCCTGAGTTCCTCCCCAGAAAGCCAGCTCCTCACTAAGGGGTCTACACTATAAAATTGAGTGCCTACCCATTGGTTGTACAGTCTTGTAAAGCTTGGAGCTCAGAGGTTGAGAACCTGAAAATGTGAAGTACATTCAGACCTTGCATTCCTCCTACACTCAGAGCCCCATGCGGGCTGCTAAGTGTGGGGGGCAGCCCACGACCCCTGTGTGAGTTCCCTGGGGCTGCCTGCACAAAGTACCACAGGCTGGAGGTTTAAGCAGTAGAGATTCATTCTCTCACAGGGAGAAGTCCGAGGTCCGGGTGTGGTCAGGGCAGCTCCTGCTGAGGGCTGTGAGGGAGAATGTGGGCGGTCCCCTCCCCCAGCTGCTGCTGGTTTGTCAGCAATCATCCATGTTCCTTGGCTCGTAGAAGCCTCACCCTATCTCTACCTGCACCTTCTCAAAGCGTCCGCCCTGTGCACTCCTGTTCCTGTGTCCAAATTTCCCCTTTTATAAGGACACCAGTCCCATTGGGTGGGGGCCACCCTACTCCAGTGTAACCTCATCTTAACTAAGTGTATCTGCAAAGCCCCTATTTCTAAATAAGCCACATTCTGAGATGCTGGGGGTGAGGACTTCAACATAGGAACTGTGGGTGGGCGGGTGGGGGCACAATTCAGCCGTGACAGTTCCCGGTACAGGAGACAGCAGAGGCCCCTGGGCAGATGGTACATCCCAGGACCACATGGTCCATGAGAAACAGACACAGGGCTGCTGAAAATACTGGCTGCCATGGGGCCTCGAGCACCAGTGATCACGCTGATGAAGGGGCTTGGGCATCTGTGCACAGGAACCAGGTAGTGTCTGGGGTCTGTTCAGCCAGCTGGGCGTCACCCTACAGCGGGCGTTGTGCCCTCACCCCCCGGTGATGACAGTGAGTCGGGCTGAACTTTACCATCTACGAACCCTCACATGTGCTTGAGATATGTGTGTATTTATCTTCCATCTCATTCCAAAAAAAGGGTGCCACTGCCATCCGAGCCCTGCGCGTAGTAGGCCTTCAGTATATAGTAGTTGTTGCTGGAATGGTTACAGACGCATCACACGTGTGACAAGCCTGTGGCTCGGGGATTTGAAGGGCTGTGCAGAAGATCGTCCCGCTGCAGAATCAGAGCATGGAGCAGGGAACAGGGACCCGAGCCCCAGCTGCCTGGCTCCTCCGTGTCTCCGTTCCCTGGGCCACGCAGCCCAGTGGCCCCCTGGTCTATGGAGGATTTCCTAGCGGGCAGGCTCCATCTGTGCTTTACCCCTTCGTTTGTGCTTCACCGGCGGCTGCACGGACTTCTCAGTGGGCTGGTGGGCGCATCCTGAGGGGCCGGGGCAGGGGTCTTGTTTCACTTGCTGCAGGAGAGAGGGCTTGCGCGCAGGGAGCCCCCGTCTGGATCTGATGATCACCTCTGCTCTTTCTTCGGCTCCTCCCTCCTAGAGAAAGGCCTGTCCTTGCTGAGCTACCAGCTATGCAACTACAGTGTGACCCAAAGTGTCCAGAAGGTGGAGGCCGTCCAGGTGTCCCATGTGACCTACGCCCCCTGCGGCGGGTGGATCCCGTGGAGACGGTGCCCCAAGACCGTTTACAGGACCCGGTACCTGGCAGTGGACGTCCCCGAGCCCCGGAACGTGACGGACTGCTGCGAGGGCTATGAGCAGCTGGGCCTCTACTGCGTCCTGCGTGAGTGCAGAGTGGCGGGCGAGCTGGGGCCACCCCCCCCGTTCCCTTCTCCCAGGGGTCCTGAGGAGTCTCCGGAGGGTCTCTGTGCACACCCACTAGCCCTGAACTTACTAGACCCTTCTGGAACACTGGTTCCCCACCTTGAGCAGGCATGAGGATCACCTGGAGGGCTTAGCACGGATCCTTGGCCCCGCCCCTGGGTTTCAGATCCGAGGAGTCAGCGGCGAAGTCTAAGTTCCCGGGCGGTGCTGATGCCACTGGCCTGGGGTCCCCAGTCTGCGAGCCTTTTTGTTCTGGAGGGGTGGCTCTTAGACCCGGCTACGCATCGAAGGCCCCTCGGCAGACTGGAAGACACTGATGCTTGGGTGCTGCCCTCACAGAGTGGGTTGGACTTGGTCTCTGGTGTAGCCTGGGCACTGGGGTGTTTGTAAAGCTCCCCAAGTGATTCTAGCACGAAGCTGAGTCTGAGAACCAACATGGCGATCTCGTCTGTGTTGGCAGCCATCCTTTTTAAAAGCTGTAGTGGACACGTTCTTTACCTGGAATCCTAATCTGAACACCAATAAGTGGGAGAGATAGATGCAAGGGGTCCCCTCAGCACCCCCAGCTGCCCAGAGGCCCCCACGTCCTCTTCCTTCCTCAGTGCGCTTTGGAAGGTGCTCAGGGCGGTTTTCAGGGTGACTGGTGTGGCTGTGCCAGGCCAGTGTCGGAGGCCAGGTGGGCTGTGCTCTGTGGGGGTTCAGGGCTCAGCCTCTCGACATGAAGGGAACTTTCCAGAAAAACCTCTTCCAGGGGAAAAGCTGCATGTGTGGGTGTGCGTGGGTAGCGGTGATGGTTACATGTGAGTCAATACCAGATCTAAAGTGAGTTTCTGAGAGTCAGAAGGTCGTCCTGTCCCCGCCCCATCATGGAGGGGAAATGGGACGGGTGTGGCCCCCGTGAGTGTCAACGGGGCACCTCTGGGCTGTGAGGGCTGCTGCCTCCAGAGAGCAGGGCGTCCGGGAGGGGGATCCCATGTGGCCCATCCTAGGCTGAGGCCAGGACGGCCCTGGGCTAAGGCCTGGACATCGCTCACCAGGGGCGCCGCCCCCGTCCCCACACCAGGGGCTACAGAACGGATTCGTGGGCCCTGCCGACCCTGCAGGAGGCTGCGTGGGCTCGGCTCGCTGAGTCACCCCGAGTGTGCCTTCCTCAGGTCCCCAGACAACTCAACAACTGATGATCTAGACGGGAAGAGCATTATGAAGACACACGTGATATTTCTTTCGGTCTAAATGACTTTAAGGTTTTTTTTTTTAAATCTAGCATTTGGAACACAATGATAACTCATTCATTGTTTTGTTTAAATGTATCTTTTTACTTTAATTATAAAAATGAAGGCGTGGGCCGTGCAGAAAACACGGAAACGGGAAAGAATGTCACACAATACAGGGATGCGTGCCTCTCCCCATTGAGCCTGCTCAGAGATGTCCTGACGGCTCTGGGTTGAGTGTTAAAAGTGGCATTCACGCTGCCACCACCGGTGAAACCCAGGCGGGGCTTCGTGTGGAGCGTGAGGGTCCAGTGGGAGAAGGCAGGTGCCACCCTGCCCGGTGCATCCTCGCCTGCGAGGGCCATGCTCTTCCCACCTGCTGGCTACAGTCAGGACGAGTGAGGTCCCATGTCCAGAGGGCCAGAGGACCGGAGGACGGCTCCTCCATGCTGAAGGTCACCTTTGTGTAAGGGCCGCTGCCCGGCTGAGCTGAGCAGTGAGTTCCCCCTGGAGAGAAGGCGGGAGGCCCTGCCACCTGCCACTCGCTCTCTTCCCCGTAACCAACCAGCCTCCGGGCAGTGCCCCTCATGGGACACCAGCCCCACTTTTAGCGTGTTAGCGCCTTTAATTAGGAACTTACCAGGCAGGGAGAGGACTGGAACATTCTAGTTAGTCCCATGGGTAGGGCTGCTCCGGGAACTGCAGGTAGGGGTGTGGCTAGAGTAGGGAGGGTTGGGACGTGTCAGGGGACACGCTGGGCGCAGGGAAGGAGAACTCACCCTGAAGGAGCTCAGAGGTGGCCGAGTTGGAATGGGGGTGTCCACAGTCCCCCTTGGGCCTCAGGAGGGTCCCTCCAGTAGTGGTGTAGAGAGGAGGCCATCGGGAGCCCAGAAGAAAAGAGAGGAAAAGGGCCTTGAGGGAGCGTGTCCTTTATGACAGGCCAGCAAGGGAGATCCCTGGTCACTCCCGGACAGGAGTGTCCCCCGTTCTGCAGACGTCGGCACAGACTGGAGGTGGCAGCCGATCTGACCAAGATCGCACAGACTTGGGCCTGGGCCTCCCCGACCCCGAGTTAGAGTCTGCTGCTGGCATCTGGGGAAGGGGCCCCGGCTGGTGGGAAGAGGAGCAAGGCTAAGGGACACCCAGGGCACCCAGCAGGCTGCACGCCTCCTCAGGAAGACCCCGCTGGGCACTGCAGCTGCCGGGGGCCTGGGCTGCGGCACCACCTTCAGCACGGCCGACGCCCTGCTGGCTCCTGAGGGCTGATGGTGGGCATCTCTTCCCACCTCCGTGCTCAGGATGTACAAACACCATGTCGGCAGCTGTAACTGCCCGTGGTGGAGGCGTTTACACCACGGGTACTGGCAGCATGGCCTTCTCCACGCTGGCACAGCTCCTCTGTTTGGTCAAAGCTCTTTCGGAGAGGCCTGGTGACAGGCTGGCTCTTTGGAACCTGTGAAGTCTCTATAAGTGACCCCCCCCAGCCCCTCCCACTGTTTTGCACAGAACCGGGCAGAGGTGGCGGCAGGGAACAGCCTGGGGATTTGGGGAGGCCAGGAGGGCAGGCGGTGCTCTTTTCTCCGTGGCAGGGTCTCCAGGTCCCCCAGCTGTGGGGCAACTCTTGTCTCGGCAGCCTGGTGCTCTCAGCACAGAGGCCTCGTCTCCAGGCAGCAGTGAAACCTCAGACTTGCTTCCTTCTTTCTCCTCCCACTCAACAGCCAATTATCTAAAAAAGGAAGAGCGTTATGAGAACTCATGTGACATTCCTTTCAGTCTAAATGACTTTCAATTCCTAAAACCCCAGCATTTGGGACACAATGATCACGTACACATTATTTTATTTAAATGTATCTTTTTACTATAATTACGAAAACGAATACGCGAGCCGTGCAGAAAATCTGGAAACACAGGAAAGAACAAAGGGACGTTACCCGTAAGCCTGCCGCCCACGCAGCACCGTGTTAACATTTTCTTCTATCTTCATTCAGGGCAAATGTACAAAAGTGTGGTCACCCCGTTCGAGACTTTTCTGTAGCACGCTTTTATCATTTGGCCATTTATCCAGAACATCTTTCACGTTAATAAATATTATTCTGCCACATGATTTAATGGCCACATGGCATTACCTCATATGGATGTGTCAGCGTGAAGCAATCTCCTACCATTTACCATTTAGTGGCTTCCAAGATTTCATTATTATAAATAACACTGCGATGGGTGTCCTATGGTACAGTCTCTGCTGCACACAAGCTGGATTATTTCCTCGGGATGAATTCCTGAGGGTGACACTGAGTGTCTTAGCCAACACTCATCAACTGCAGTGACACCCTGGTTTCCACTTAGCCCACTTTCACTGCAGGACCATCATCATGGCAGGACCCCACTGCAACAGGACACCACCCCAAACTCCCTGTCTTCCCCAGGCTGAGGACCAGGGCCCCTTTGGGCAAGAAGGACGCCTGGCAGGAGGTGAGGGTGAGAATGATATTCCAGAAGGATCAGATTCTTGAGCCCCGGATGACCTCAGCGCTGTTGCTCAGACAGAAATCTCCTGTGGGTCTTGTCCTTGAACTGTGACTAACCTTGGTTGCCAGGCACTGGGAAGTCCTGTTTCATTGTTTGTGTTGAGCTGGTGGAAGGAGAAACAGACTTCTGACTTCCTACCAAGTTGGAATTGCTGACTCTTCTCTTGGGCTCTCAGCGAGTGCCAGCCCCACAGGAAGGAGGGGAGTCCCAGCAGCGTTCAGGCCAAGACGAACTTGAACTCAAAAACATGTCCGATCGGCAACCATTTTTGGAAGCTGACTTTTCTTGGTGACCTGAACTTTCTTTTAATTTAAGTGAACCTTTTACTTTAGAATAGTTGTAGATTTATAGACAAGTTGCAAAGCTGGTAGAGAGAGCTCCCATATACCCCTCAGCCACTGTCCCCAAGCGTTAGTGTCTTGTGTACGATGGCACATGTGTCTCCACAAAGAAACCAATGCTGGTGCACTGCTTAGTCCAACTGCACACTTTATTTGGATGCCACTTTTTCTTTCTTCTAATGTCAGTTTTCTCTCCCAGGAGCCATCTCACATTTAGTCTCACATTTCCTTAGCCCTGAGGCTGTTGGTTTTTATAATGGAGGAGACTGCGAAGACCTTTAGACGCTTGATTGGTGGCCCCACAGGGATGCTGGGATCTCCCTCCCAGTGGCTCTCTGGGCTGTACCACAGGCCCATTTTTCATGTCCCAAAGCCGGTCAGTCCCTGGGTAGCAATTTCTTTAGGACTTTAGACATCAAATGGTGCCTCCCAGGCCTGGACATGGCCCCTAGGCAATCCACACTGTGCGCCTCCAAGAACTGCAGATGGAATCAGCGCCAGGAGACACCCAGGTGTGGTGCCTGAGCAGCTCACCCAGGTTTTTATTGCTAACATCATTAACTGCTAATCACTTTTCCTCAGCCCTGAATCGCTCCAGGGAGTTTGCATCGAGACCCGGGGTCTGCCCAGCGGTGGGGCCAGATGCATCCACCTCACTCTGTGCCTTGGACGCCGACTGCCCTGGACTTCAGAAATGCTGCCCCTTGCAGGGGGGCCACCGCTGCGTGGCTCCCATGCCCCAAGGTAGGACTGAGACCTGCAGCAAAGGAGGTGTCCAGTTAGCCAGCCACCCATAGGCTAGGGGCCCGGTCCTGACCTGGTGGGGTGGGGGTAGATTTCCAGGGCCAGTGGCTGGTGTCAGAGGAGCCCGCAGCTGGGTGTAGGGTGCTTCCCACTCCCAAGCAATGCAATGTGTCTGTCCAAACGTGGCCACTGACTTCTCAGGGGGAGGCGCGCACACAGGCGTCCTGGGGAGGGAAGGCGTTCCTGGCAGAGCGGCTGCCCAAATTCCCCAAGCTCACCTAGGGAGCCCTAGAGCTTGCTGGAAACTGACCTGTTCTGTAGTGAGAAGGTGTGTGGCTGACTGCTCCAGAAACACCAAGAGACCCGAAATCCTGCTCGGAGCACCAGCTTGGCAGGCCCGTGGACCAGCCCTCAGGGCATGCCTGTCTGGTCTGGAAGGTTCTGCTCCAGATGGTGGCTGCCCCCAGGAGAATGGGTCAGTCAAGGTTCAGAGTTAGGGGGACAAAACATCACATGCAATAGGTATTATAATATATTCTAGCATTAGTACAGTCCAAATATGTCAAGTATTGTATGACACACATTCAGTGCGCTATTTTACTATCCACGTCACAGTCTACATATTATGTAAAATGGATATTACACACAGTATGATCTGGTATGCATTATACACAGTAGTATGTTATATAGCGTAGATAGGGCCACATATATTATAACGTAAGAGAAGCGAAGCGCGGGCGGTGGGGGAGGTGCCCCCTGCCGTCCGGGGGGCAGCCCCACTTATGTAGGAGGGCGAATGTAGCGGGGCCAGCCTCCTGCTTTCTAGGCCTGTGTCCCCCCTTTCTCACCCCGGGGCCGCTGGTGGCCCTGCCCTGCCCTGTCCCTGTCCCTGGCCTGTAACTGTTCAGCGTGTTGCCTCCTGTAGCTCCAGAGAGGAATCTGACGAGCTCCTGGTTCAACGTGACCATCCTGGTGAAAATGAACTTCCAGGAACTCCGGCAGGTGGACGCCAGGCTCCTGAACCACATGAGACTTCTGCACTCCATGGTAGGTGGGAGGCGAGCGAGCCTGCAGGCCCCCGGGCTGGCACAGGCGGGGGTGCGGTGCGAACTGGGGTTGGCAAGGGGTTCCCTAAGTGACCGCAGCCTGACTCCGAACCAAACGTGAATTCTTAATTAAGAAAACAAAGCTTCAAAGAGGTATAATTTACGTGCCATGACACGCACCCATGGAAGTGTGTAATTTGGAGTTTGTTGTACATAACACTGTAAACCCTATCCTACGATGTAGAGCATGGAACCCCCCTAGTCTTTTAACTGCTCTGTCTGTTGCTTAAACCAAAGGGTGACCCAGTGTAGATGGCCTGGGCCCCAGAGCTGTGACCTCACTGACCTCATTCTCAGGTCCCCAGCGTCCTGGAAAGTTCTGGGATGGGGACTTCTAGATGGGGTCCTCTACTTGCCACTATCAACGTATGGGGCCAGATAGCTCTTTGTTGTGGGGGCTGCCTGTCGTTATGGGATTTTTGCAGCATGCCTGGCTTCTCTGCACAAGAAGCCAGAAACGTACCCAGTTGTGATAACCCAAAGTGTCCCCGCACATGGCCACGTGTCCCCTGAGGGGCAACACGGCTCCTGTTGCAGACCTGCTCACACTTTCTGACACGTCAGCAGAGCCTTCCAGCCAGGACGTCTTCACAGGCGGGGTGTCACCACCATGGTGGGCCCACTGGTGGACGGGCCACTGCTCATCCTTACAGCACGGCCGTCTTCCCAGCATGGCGGTCTGCCCTCAGGGCGGGCTTCACGGGCGAGTGTCCCACACAGTCACCCCACGCTCAGAAGGGCCCCACACTTGGTTTCATGCTCCGCCGTGGCCTCTTGAAATACTTAATACTTTTTGAATACTCATTTTCCTCCTGCGCTGGGCCCTGCACACCGTGGCTGGTCCTACCTGACTTTTGGAATCCGCAGCTGTGTCCTGTGTGGGATGAGGGGTCAGGCCCAGGTTTGGATCCTTCCCTAGTGTTCAGACCCGCTGGCAGGGGCGGCCCCCGAACAGGTGGCACACACACTCACCTGGTTCTGGGCCTCACCAGTAAAGTGTCTTAAGAGGTATTCTGAAACGTCACCTTCCCCTGGAAACCTCTTTAACTGCCCCAGGTGGAGGGATTCTGTCTCCGGTGAGCTTGTTGGGGGCAGGGGAAGATGGCCTGATTGGCTGCCTGGGTTCCAATCCCAGTGCTGCCCCTTGTTAGCTGTGTGGCCTTGGGCAAGTTACTTAACCTTTCTGTGCCTTAGATGCCACTTCCATTGAATAGAAAAAGCCATAATCGCCTGAGGCAGTGGCCATGAGGTTTAAACAGCACATGGAAAGAGCTGAAAATGGTGCTGACACTAGTGTTTCCGTGTTTCCGAGTTGTGGTTGCTGGTATTTTAAATATTGTTGTGTGTCACCCATTGTCTCCTCAAGAGCGTAGGTTTTGTTTTTCAGGGCAGACCATTAACTCCAGCAGGTGGGGCCTGACCCACAGCCTCCTCCCTGCTGCAGGGGCCGGTTCCCTGACTTGGGGGTTCCAGGGAGGCCGGGGTGAGCTTCTGTTCTGCCCCCTGGGTTCTGAGCTGTATCTCCCCTGCAAAGGCTCGAGTCTGCCAAGGACAAGGCAGGCTCCAGTGTCCCCCAAACCACCTTTCCACTTCCCCATGGAGACTGGAGGGTTTGTCAGCAAAGCTTGCTTTGGTGAAGCCATGCTGCTCTGTGGTCAGGCCAATGTGTTTGGCTTCTCAAGGCAAACAGAACCTCGAGATTTTGAGATATTAGGCTGGGGCAAAAAGGGTTCATATGAAATGAGAAAGCGGGTCACTAAAGCTCAAAAAAAAAAATCAGACGTGCAATGGCTTGATGCCATGGCTTGATCTCTAGTTCTCCAATTCCTGATCTAGTTCTCTGTCATGTGCTGCGGGGGTGGGGCCTGAGGGGCCAGGAGCTGACCAGTGTTTTCCGGGGGTGGCCATGACAGCGCCACAGAGTGGAGGGCCTACAGAGCAGACACGTGTGGCTCCCTGCGCTGGAAGGCTGCGATGCAGGTGCGGGAAGGGCTGTGCCTTCCCAGGCCTGTGAGGGAAGGCCCTTCCCAGGGGCCTCGTTGGCTTGTAGGCAGCTGTCTTCACCCTGCGTCCTCACAGCATGCCCTTCTATCAGGGTCTGTCTCCACACCCAAATCCCTTTTCTGTGTAAGGACACCAGTCAGATTGGATAAAGGCCCATCCTAATGACCTCATTTTAACTAATTACATCTGCAACAACCCTATCTCCAAATAAGGTCCCATCCTGAAGTCCTGGGGCATAGGACTGCAACATAGGGATTGGGGGTTGGGGCATGGTGGACACCATTTAACCCATGACAACCGGTGTTGCAGAAGTATTTATAGTCTGGTTTGCAGGACTTTTACTGGGATGACAGATATAAAAATATTGCAGAGGTTCACTTCCGCAGAGCAGAATGGTGTGCATGTCTGTGTGTGCATGTGTGTGTGTGTTTGTGTGTGTGTGTGCACTTAACTTGAATTTCTCCAGGCCTCAGTCTCCCTGTCCGATGGGGGCACTTCTCCCAGGTCACAATCTGACTCTGGTTTCACAGGTCACCAGTGCCCTGCGGCCGATGGAGGCCACTGTCCACCACCTGCACTCGGCCTGTGGGGACACTTCGACCACTGTGTCGTGGCTGCTGCTGGGCCTGCTGCAGCCAGTGCCTGTGGCCAACGTCTCCGCAATGCTGGACGGCATCGTGAAGCGTGTGTACGAAGTGATCAACATCCAGGTGCAAGGTGGTGCTTCCCCTCGGTTCTCTCCTTGGTGGCGGGAGGGCGGGTGCAGGAGTTGAAAACAGTCCATCAGGTGAGGGGTGGCGGACCCGCTGTAGCTCCTTCTGGCCCAAACCAAGTTGGAGGTCTGTGTCTCCTGCACACCCTCCCGTGCCCAGGTGTCTCCTTCCATCCAGGTGGGCGCAGGGGAACCGGCCCCAGACGACACAGAACTTGCTCTTTCGGTTCGCGGGCTCCTAGGTTTGCCTACTGCCTCTTTCCCACCCTTGCCCAGGACACCCTTGTACCTGGAAGGCTCTGTCAGCAGAATTCGTACAAAGTTGAATTTGGTAAAGCACACAGATACGGCCTTGTTCCTGGAAGGAATTACTTGGTCTTCCTTCATCTTTATTATTATTATTTTTTCATCTATGTCGGGCTCAGCAAACTTTTCAGCCAGACAGTAAATACTTTGAGCTGAGGGCCGCGTGGCCTCTGTCTCCAGGGCTCAGCTCTGCCGTGTGACATGGGCCGTGGACAGGGTGAGA